TTCTAGCCTCTTGGGGACCAATTAGGAACCAATTTACTCATCTGAAGTCAGATGTTAACAGGCTGCTAATAGCTTTGTATTTCCTCACTGATCAGTGCTTTTCAGCACCTTAACTCATGAGAAAGACTGACTTGTGGTGAAAATTGCAGGTCTGGGTGGTGGAGAGGAAGGAAGGGGCAGGTATTTGGACAGAAAAAACTTTCCCATGCCGCATATACTACTACCTACTCAGCCCTTGGTGGGGCGAGTCTTGAACAGACAAAAAAAAAGAAAACAAAGTAGAATGGGCAGGTCCATCCCAGTAACCTCCTTTGATGTCCTCAAAGTGCTAACAATCACAGTAACACCTTTAAATTGCAGCCACCCTCTTTAGCATTCACAATCATTATCACTCTCACTGACAGCATCTTTATTGATCCTTTCTCTTTCGAGGCTTCCCCAACCCCTGCCTGCCTCAGATCCAGAGTCTCTGGCCACCTGCAGTTGCCACCAGCTAGCAGACCAGACTCTGTAGCTTTCCACCATCTTTGGGCCTCCATTCCCATTGCAGGCCTGCCTCTCTCCAGTCATCTACCACCAATGGACATTTCTTGAGCACCTACCATGTGCAAGGTCCTGTCTTTCCTCCTAGCTACTACTGCGATTGTGTACTGTGTGGGGCTTTATGCACAAATGTGCCACTAGTTATCTCACAGAGGACATATATTTGGGGTTTTTTCCAAGAAAGAAGATAGCTTTCAATTTATTTACACACCTGATTCCTTTAAAAAAAAAAAAGTGCAAACACTAGGGTGCTCAACCCTCCTGGCTTGCCCGGAACTGAGGAGTTTCCTGGGATGTTCTGGAATCAAGAGGGTCTGGACAAACCAGGATAATTGGTTAACCCTAAACATTTATTGACTGCCCACTGATTACCTAGCATGACTTCAGGCACTGATGGGTTGCCTTTCAGGCCAGCCTTAAACGAACGCCAGGGCAAGTGATGCTTTGAGGCAGAAATGTTCTGGTAAATGTTTAACAACCAGCTCTCTGGGGGAAGGGGAGGAAGATCCCTAATTTGTACCATTTGCTGATCTCTGTGGTGTAAACACTCCCACCATAGCCAATTTCAAGCTACCAGTGTGATGTCATTGAACGTGGAATAGGGAAGAGATACAGAGTAGAACACCATTATTTAACATTTCCACCACACAGACACAATAGATGTGAATAACCTCAAGAGCACAGATGATAGTAAAATGTAGTAAAATAATTAGGAAGTGATGAGTTTAGAGTATTTATTCCCTTCATTTTAATAAAGTTTAATTGCAAGTTTATATAATTTTTAATAATGGATTTGTTTAACAACTGACTTGCAAAATCCTGAAAATTTAACCATCAACTTTCACAAGTCAATGTGAGCCAGTTCCAGCACATCACTGAAAGAATCCTGGGAAAGTCACACTTTTTCATCATGCACATGCCTCTTTCCCACTGGTATGCCACAAAAGACTGAAAACCCACCAGTTGCAATTTATTCCTTTGATCTGAGCTCTGCCTTTGATATACTAAGAAGAACAAGACCAGGAATAAGGACACAAATTCTAATCCCAGTCTTATCATGAATGGGCTGCATGACCTTGACCTCTTTGGACCCCAGGTTCCTTACCTGTAAAATAGGGGGTTAGACAACTGGTGTTCTTCAGTGACTCTCTCGGACATGTTTTTGCGTGTGTGTGTGTGTTTACAGCTATAGTGAGGTATAATTGATATACAATAAGCTAGACCTAGACATATTTAGAGTACAATTTGATGAGCTTTGACTGAAATCATCACAACAAATAAGATAATGAGCATGCCCATCACCACCAAATATTTTCTTGTGCCCCTTTATAATGCATCCCTTCCTCTCAACTCTGTTGCTAGGTAACCACTAATCTACTGTCACTATAGAATGCTTTCAATTTTCTAGAACTTTATAAAAATGGAATCATACAGCATATAAGTATTCTGCTCTTATCTTTATTATTTCCTTTCTTCTGTTTGCTGTGAATTAAACTTGATCTTTTTCTAGTTTCTTATTGTGGAAACTGAGGTCAATGATTTAAGACTTTTCTTTTCAATATAGCTGTTTAGTGCTATAAATTTCCCTCCAAGTACTGTGTTAGCTATATCCCACAACTTTGTATGTCTCATGTTTTCATTTTCACTCAGTTTAAAATACTTTCTAATTTCCCTTGAGACTTACTCTTCAGCCATGGATTATTTAGAAGTGTGTTAGTTTCCAAATATTTGGAGGATTTCCCACATATCTTTCTTTTACTGTTTTTTAACTTAACTCCATTGTGGTCAGGGAACATATTTTGTATGACTCGAATCCTTTAACTTTACTGACACTTGTTATACGACCCAGATATGGTCTATCTTGGTAAACGTCCAATGTGCACTTGAAAAGAATCTGTTTTCTGTTGTTGTTGGGTTGAGTATTGTATAGATGTCAATTACGTCAATTTATTATTTGTATTGTTGAAATCTATATTCTTACTGATTTTTCTGTCTCCATGGTCTATCAATTATTGAGAAAGGTGTTTAAGTCTCTGACTAAAATTGTGGATTTGTGTATTTGTCCCTGTTCAGTCAGTTTTTGCTTCATGTATTTTGAATTTGTTATTTAGATGCATATATATTTAGGATTGTTATGTCCTCATGATGAATTAACCACTTTATTATTATGAAATGGCCCTCTTTATCTCTGGCAATGTTCTTTGCTTTGCAATCTACTTTCTCTGATAATAATATAGTCACTCCAGCTTTTCAAAAATTCATGTTGCCATTATGGTCTTTTCCCTATCTTTTACATTTAACCTATTTCTGTTTTTATATTTAAAGTGGGTTTCCCATAGGTGGCATATGGTTGAGTCTTTAAAATTTTTTTTTTCCATTCTACCAATCTCAGCCTTTTAATTGGATTGCTGTGAGACCATTAACTCTAATATGACTATTGATACGGTTTTGTTTAAAACTACCATCTTGCTATTTGTTATTTGTCCCAACTCTGCCCGTTAGCCAATGTCTGGAAACTGTCATTTCATATATTTTGCCCATTTTTTGAGTTGCTAATGTGGGGGGTTAAATCCACTCACTATTACTGCATCGTTGCTGGAAGTAGAAGTCCTCTATGTTCTGTTTTTCATACTGATTTGTAATTTATATTATGGACATTAGCCTTGTCTTTATACAAGTGCCAAATATGTTCTTCCAGTTTATCACTAGTCTTTTAATTTTACTTATGGTGTATTTTTTTTCATAAAACGGGTTTTTATTTTGATGTTGTCAAATCTTTCATTCTTTTCCTTTGGGTTTTTATGTCATGCTTATAAATGCCTGCCCTATATTTTCTTCTAAATCGTCATTTTTAAAGAAAAAGAAATAACTCCTCAGTATGAATGAGTTTTATTTTTAGCATCAAGTTTATTAATTACAAAAATAATACATGCACATGGTAAAAACATCAAGTAGAACAGAGGGCGATAGATGAAAATGAAAAGTTCCTTTCCTCTTCTCCCACTGCCCCTGCTTGCCAAATTCCACTTGCCAGAGGTAACTCTTGTTAGCAATTTCTTGTATATATCCTGCCTTCCATACATATTCTGGACACATACAGACACATGCATATTTATCCTTTTGCACACAAACAGGATACACACACACACACACACACACAGAGTTCTGCAATTTCTCATTTAACATATATCTTTGAGTTCTTAATGTGACTGAGTTTGATGACGTTTACCAGACTGAAAGAGAGACCAGGACAGTCAGAGAACGCTGTAGTGGAAGTGCACAGGAATAGGCATATTCATCTCTGTAAAGCCAACTCTTAGCACAAAACCTGGCACATAATAAATAAGTGTTAAACAACTAAAAGGAAAGAAGAACTTGAGAAAACTGGCAACAAACTGCTATCTTGACCAGTCTCAGGCCAGACGTGGTCTCCTGACTGAGAGTTACCATCTCCCAGGGCAGCGGGGAACAATACGTGATGATGGATGAGGTCATGGAGCAGCTGGACCTCTCGCTTGCAATAATTTCCCTCTGTGTGTCTCTTCCTCCACTAGATTCACTGCCTCCAGCACACACATTTAGTTCAAATGCACAGTTCACACTGACTACACAGCAAGAAAATCTGGGAGCTCCAAGACTACACAGCTGAGTGATATTACAGGTACACACTCATAAAAATAGCTACCATTAATCAGTACCTACTATAGGGTAGGCACCATGTTGCGAACAACAGCCCTGAAAGGTTAATGTCAATTTATCCCCATTTTATAGATGAGAAAACTAAGGCTCCAAGAATCCCATGACTTATTCAGGGTCACACTACTATTCAAGTAGCTTCCAGAGACAACTGTCCACCTTAATCAGGTCAGCCTACTTTTCCATCAATTCCGCACCACATTTGCTCCTATTTCACAGACCTTGTGCTATATTCCTTGCCTGGCACTCCCTTTCTCCACTTGTCTCATCTGGCGTTTTCTGGAATCCAGGCAGAGACAGAAACATGGGGTTGTGCAGGATCCGTGCTAAGCTCTGCAATATGCGGTCAGGGATGAGGACTGAGTCAGTTATAGGAGTCCATGAATAAGAACAAACACATGGGGGAGGTATTAAAAGTTCAGAAAGGGAGCTGAGCCTGGGAACTGGAAAGCACCCTCAGGAGCCTAGGCTATGGATACTATGGCAGCTAAGAAACGCTAATGCAAACATTTCTCTCTCTCAAGGCGCTTTTGGTGAGCTACTCACAAACACAGCCCTCTTGCCTGCAGCCTTACAGCCGCCAGCCAGTATATCTCCCCCTACTTCAATTCTACTCATTCTCAAGGCCCACATCAAGTCTCACTTTCCCTATTAATCCAGCTCATTTCTCTCTCTTTCTTTTGTGAATTACAGTTTTACTTAAAATCAGCACCATAAGATATAACGAGTGTTTGTATACCCTTTTGTCCCTTAATCATTTCAAGTATCTTGTTTCTTTAAGTGGACTCATTCACATGTACTGTTTCTATTGTTTCTCTGCCTGGTCTGGGTATTGGAAGACCTGGCTGGATTCCAGTCCCAAGGGTCCCACTAATGAGCTGTGTGACCTGGAGCTAGTCACAACCTCTCTGAGCCTCATCTTCCCCTCTTCCAGGGTTTTTGTGAAAACAGAGTAAACATTATAACACAATATATGAATATAAGTTATTATTGCTGAAGACATTTGAACTAAGGTGCTTCCGCCTTTTACATCCTACTTAGTGGATGGTTCTATGTAAGAAATAGCAATCACTGCTTCTTGTTTCACACTAGTGTCCTCACCAAAGGTTAACAGGTTTAGAATAAGAATACTGCACAACTGTTAAAGACGGCACCAGATGGAGGGGGTCTATGTGCAGCTGATTCGGGGGCTCTCCTTGGAAACTACCAGGTGATTCCAGGCTTGCTTATTTTTAAAGCTTCCATCTTTCTGAATGTTTCTTCATGTAAATGATCCGTGTCAATGCTATGAAAAATGAAAAGAATCTCGTGTCAAGTCATGCCAACAGATGCTGTCAGAAGCTTTCCTATTCTCAAGGATAAGATTCCCATTCACACTTGCTTCATGGCACCACTCAGTTACTTCACCCACTTGGCTATCTACCTCCTCCCTCAGCCTTAACTCCTTTCCTCGGGTCTCAAAAAAGAAAATACTTAACTTTCTCTTGGATTCTCACTTCTGTCCCTGCCTGCCTTTGTCCAAGGCCCTGCTCCATTAATCCATTAGTTCCCGCTCCTGTATCTATAACCTCTCCCTCTCTATGGGCTCCTTTCTCTCAGCCTACAAATTTGCCTATCCTAAAACAAGGCAAAAAAGAAAAAGAACAACTCCTTCCTTCATGCAGTCCCACAACTCCCCCCAGCCACGACCCCATATCTCTTCTCCTTTTCACAAACTTCTTGAAAAACTAGTCTCTGCTCCTTCTCCGTTTCCTTTTCCCCCATCTCTTCAAGTTGCTGCAATCTGGTTTCCGGCCCCACCACACCACTAAAACAGCCCTGGACAAGGTCACCTATGGCCTCCCGACTGCTAAACCCCATGGACACCTTTCAGTACTCATCCTTTTGGACCTAACTGCTGCATTTGGTACTGTTGAGCACTTACTTCTTCCTTCCTTGAGTCTCACTTTTCCCATAGTTTCCAGGACACCTTTCTCTCCTGGATTTCTCCAAGGATTTTCCTTTCCATACCCACCTCTTAAAAATTGGTATTGCCCATGGCTAATTCCCCAGAGATGTTCCTCAGAGGTTCTTCTCTTCTGACTCTCCCTAGAGGATCTCATCCATTGTCATGGCTTCAGCTATCATCTCCAGGGCACGCTCCTATATCCAACTGCCTACCTACTAGAAAACTTCCCGCAGTGTCCCTCAGACACTTCAAACTCCACATGTGTTCCTGATTAAAACCCACTGATTACAAAAGAAGGTACAAGCTCTTTCAAGTATGTAGTTAAGTGCAGTTTTTAGTTTTTAATTGCTAGAAGCTAATCTTTATCTAGTGAAGTGGGTAGCCCAGCTAGTTATGCAATTGTAGGGTAAGTAGACATTTCATGCCATGGAAGTGTAACAAGACCTTTAGACTTTTTTGAGTGACTTAGCAAAAGCTGTCTTACCTCCTGATATGTAGAACACACTTCTGGGGAACAAGTGGGCCAATATGCTTAGGAAGCCCAGAGGTTTTCTGAGAGTTAAGAGACCAGATACTCTCAACCCCTTCTTTCCAAATTTAGAATTAAGAACATGTATCAGGGTGAGCCAGGTGGCTTTGTCCAACGTCCAGTGCCGGGGAAAGGCACCAAGACCCCTAACATAAAATTATCTTGAAGAAAGAAGAAGGTTTAAGTGGGGCCCCTGACTCAACTCAGGGGCCTACACGTTTGTGGGCAAGGGAAAGTTTCACACATATATCCTTGTGGCTGATTCAAGGAGCTCCTCTAGACCCAGCCACCCTGATATATATGGTACTTTAAAGAGCAATGGCTGCACGCTTGGGTGTGGACTAAGACATATGTAACCTCAGAGCCCAAGCATAATGGTAGTGCAGGGCTGGCAGGGATCCAGACCAGCCAGAGCATGACCATCCAGTCACCAAGCTTCTGTGGGACTGGGCAGCATCAGTTCTCAGAATCAGCCCCATGTGACAGTGAGAAACAGCAGCAGCAGTGGACTGATTCTTCAACCAGCTTTGGAAGCAAAACTGGCTCCATCTTTGAGGCCGGTTTTGAAAAGGCAAGGAGAGGCCCTAAACTGTACTAATACTAGAGTATGTGAGAGAAAGAGAACAATGACTGAATTTGTACCCAGAATTCTGCTAACAACTCTTACTAATCATACATGGCATACAAGGCCTTGCCTACCCCTCGGGCTCATTTCTTGACACATTCTGCTTTGCACTTTATGCTCCAGCAATAGCAAACTTCCTGGAGATTGTCCACCCCTATCCCCATCAAGTACCATAAACCTACTGTCTGGTTACCTTTGCCCATGCTATCTCCTGAGCCTGGACTACACTTCATCATCCTTACCCCCATTTCCCCTGGCTATAGTCCTGAGACTCAACTCAGGTGGCCTTTCCTCCAAGAAGCTTTTCCTGATGCTCTTGGGCTCGGTGAGTTGTCTCCTGCCATGATTACCCTATTGCATTCATCAATTCACATGCCTGTCTCTACTACTAGGCCCACTAGGCCTGAGGAGTCCAGACCGTGTCTCACGTCTTATTCATTCTTGTCTCCTAGCACCTGGCACATTTGCCTAGCACATAGCAGATACTCAGCAAGTGCTTGTGGAATGAATGAAGGTAAGCTTTGTCACTCTGAGGCCACAACCTCTCTTTTTCCTTGACCTTCTGAATGTCTAGACACCTAGTCTTTATTGAACATATCATTAAGTGTCTCCTTGCCTTGCCCCCAGATGCCCTAAATTACCAACTGGTCTGCTATATGTATTTGCTATACACAGAGCACTGAGCTGGGAAGTTTACAAGGGAAAATACAATGAGGAGTAAGATTCAGATTCCACACTTCAGCAGTTCTTAGAAAATAACCTTCTTCCTCCACCCTTTCCAATTTCCAGAGAAGATGCCCCCTTTTTAGGAGGCTCTCCTGGATTTTCCCCCCTCTAGCCCACCACCACTTTAAAAGATCCATAGTTTCCTCTCACCTTACCTCAGTAAGTATATATTTCTATTGATTTCAGTGTTGTTTGTCTTATATACACTCTAACATTCAAAATTTATTTGAGGTCAGTGAATGGTGTCTATTCTGTGTGTGTGTCCTTTATTTTGTATTCTGAGCTATTATTGCACACTGCTATCAACCTGTCGATTGACAAGTTATAAAGGTTTGAAGGCTGGCCTGAAAACACAATGGAAGCATATTGGTTAAAAGACAAAGCAAGAGAAACAGGAAACGGTGCAACAATTTACAATAAAAAACAAATAATGGCATGGCATCACCAACAAAATAATTTCTCCTTGCTATCATTTAGGACCTCTGCTGAAGCATACACACTGTAGAGTGCTACCACATTAAATTACTCTACATTTAAAGAAACATTAGGATTGATCACTCAGTTTATTTCAACCTGTTGACAATACAGACTCCAGTCACCTCTTTCTGAGAAAGGCACCATGGAGGCCCCTAAGTCTCTGAGCCTTATAATGTTGTGAATAATTCCCTCTTCCTAGGCAGTAATTGCCACACTCTCAGGCCTTTGAAACTAACCGACTTCACTTTGCTAGTAGAGAACCAGCTTCTGTTTCAGCGAGACTTGTAAACAGGCCTTTATGCTGTTTTCATTTATGCTTTAATCCCTCAAACTGGCTTTGGAATGTGGAATTTTTGCACTCGGCTTTTATTTTCCATCATGTGTTCCAGTTCAGAATGCCAGAAATGAATGGCCATTTGGTCACTGGTTAGCTGCCAACAGAGCATAGCTGTATCCTAATTAAGAATTACTTTGTGTGTCATGCCAGCCTGCTGAGCTGGTAGACAGACATTGACCAGAAAAGGTCAAGACCTCCACTTTCTATAATTGCATCATGACGGCTTCATCCTCTTGAGTCTTGAAGACTCTCAAAATGTAAACATTAAGCCCTCTAGCAGGTATTAGTAGAGGAAAGGGAAAGGGTCTAACACTAATGGAGTACCTCCTATGTGCCAAGAATTGTACTAGGTACATTCGTAATTAATGTCTCACTTTATTCAATCCCCATGCTAACACCAGGTAGTCATGTACTGGTATTAGGTCCATTTTACGGAAAAGGATACTAAAGTTCAGGGAGGGTAAGTAAGCATGGTCATGTAACTAGTAGATGCTAGACCTAGTGTTTAAGCCAGACCTAGCAAAATCTAGGTCCGGTGCTCTTTTTCCTACACCATGCTGCTTCCCTTAGCAGGGAGATCCAGCACCGCCTCTTCTCTGCCTCTCTCCCTGCCTGTGTCCAAGGAGGAGGCTTATTGGCGATTTCACTTAACTTTGATATGTTGCCTACGCATGGCCTACCCTCAGCCTTTCTTCTCTTGTCTCACTGCAACGGGCTATGATCAAACCCAACATGCCTGTTGTGACCCATCCTCCCACTTCCCCCACCACAGTAACTTACTAGAACGTCTGTAGTTTACATATTGGGTGAATCAGTGCGTCACACAGCATTTGCACTCCAACGTCCTTGAGGTCATTTCCACTTAAGTCTAGCAATCTTAGGTTCTCATTTCTGTTGAGGACAGAGGCGAGGGCTCCACAGCACACATCTGTGAGGTGACATTGTGCCAACCTATGGGGGATTGGGGATTCAAGAAATAAATCAGTTTTATCCCAAGTTCCACAATGACCCTCCATTTCATATACAGTCTTGGACAAGAGTCCAGTGGACAAAGAATCCCCATGCACCTACCACAAGGTCTGTAGTTTGCAGGAGGGGTGTTTTAGCCCTTCACACAGCACCTGCATGCCCTCGTCCCCTAAGGCATTGTCACTGAGGTCAAGGACTCTCAGGTGTTCATTGGTGTAGAGTGCATTGCACAAGTCCTGACAACACTCTCCAGTCAGGTGACAGGTCCACAATCTGCCAGGAAGTAAGGTAGAGAAGGCTGGCATCATTTCATCTGCACTGAGTCACTTCAAGAATTGTGTTTGCCCACTAAGAAAACACGTTAGAAAATCAGTGTCATGTAAAAAAAAAAAATCCTTTGGGCCAGGGCCAAGCAGAGGTTGTGGAGAGGGGAAAATTTATTCCCCTTAAATTATTTGGGTCTTCATTGATTGCTTCCTCGGAGATTCAATCACCAGGCCAAAAACTCCTCATTTAATTTTGGGAGTTGCTGAAACGTCAGGAAACTCTGCCTTTGGCAATAGTCCGTGATACTTACGCCAGTTCCTTTAACTGACAGTCAGGCTGTTTTATTCCTTCACACAGCAATTTCACTCCCAAATCTTCAATTTTGTTATTAATTAGAAGCAGCCTTGTCAGGCTCCGGGTGGAGCTCAGGACTTGGGCGAGGGACTCACAACAAGCTGCCGAGAGGGAACATTCAGAAAGCCTGGAGGAATGGGGACATGAAGGTGGCTGTTAACCAGGGCAGCAGGGAGTCCCACTGAACTTCAAATGCCAAGGCCCACGAGAAGGACAAAGACAAGCAGACACTTACACGAGATTCTCAACTATACCCTTCGCATGCCGCAGACCTTCACAGAGATGCTGTACTCCTGTGTCCCCCAGGGCATTGGCAAATACAAACAGCTCTTTTAAAGTCTGACTCACTTGCAAGAAAGAAGACAGCTCCACACAGCTAGCATCCGTGAGGTAACACGTGCTCAAGCTACCCAGAGAAGAAGAAGAAGAAAAATCAGCCACTGCTGCATTTAGCTTCCTGAGAACGTTCTCCCCGCCTCCCCATTTAGCTAAGTCTTAGCCATCCTTCATATTTCAGTTCCCGGCCCACCTCCTTCACAGAGTCTCCTTCTGAGGTCTCCAGCCCACAGTAACCTCCTCCCTTTCCCTGGGCTCATCTGACAATTCTAAATGATTCCATGGTGTTGGGCACCTGATTACACATTGAACTGTGTTGCTCTCCAATTGTTTTATATCTGTGTGTCCTTAAGGGCAGCCTTGTCACTTGCTTTCCTTCTGATAACTCCACCCACATCTAGTTCAGTGTTGGGTGCAGAATAGGCATTCTTTACAGAGTTAAAATGTAATTATTATCATTCCTGTAAACATATAGGATGGTAGTATACTGGAAAGAGCATGAGATTTGGAGACCGATTTTGGAGTCATATCCTGACTATACCACCTTTTAGCGGTGTGACCTTGGACAAGTCACTTTTCCCCCGATCCTCAGTTTCCTCATCTGTACAATGGGGATGAGAAAACCCACCTTATATGGTTATTGCAAGGAGTGAATTCGGTGAAATAACTTCTTGCAAGCACCAAGCATAGATCCTGGCACACAGTAGTCATTCAACAAGTCTAATGGGTCATAAGATGATGCCAGATAGTTCTAAGAAACTTACTCTAGTTTCTCCAATTTACAGTTGGAATGTCTGAAACCCTCACAAAGATACTTCACCCCTGTATCCCTCAGGGGATTTTCACTCAGGTCCAGTTCAGTGAGGTTTGGATTGCAAATGAGAACAGAGGCAAGATACTTGCAAACAGCCTCTGAGCTTTCTGGGAGAAAGCTAGCAGACAACCTGGAGAGAAAGAAAGACCAACAGAGACAGAATTTGTTGCTTTATCATCCTATTCATTCCCTACCCACAATACTTTATGAGCAGAGAAAATAAAGTCCCACCCATACAAGACCCCTAACCGTGAGTATGTCACAGCCCCCGTTTCCCATGAAAGGGACTTGTACATTGCTCCCACAACACTGTGTCCCCAAGAGGGATCTCAATAAACGTTGACTCCCCCAAAAAAGAAAAGGGTTGGGAGGAAATATCAAGATGACCTAATCTCATTTTAATTCCCTGCATGAATTTAGCACTCTATCTCATATCTTCTTTCAAATCCCAGGGGGGAAATGCTATAAGAATCCTTAATAAATTTTACAGTCAAAAGATTTTTCCTTTCCTCTTATTTAAAAGTCCATTATTCATTAATTTGCCATCCTTAGAAAGACCCAGCCCATCACCATGAATCACATAATATTCCTTCTTTGGCACAAAGAGTGGTTTTTATTGACCTTCCAGCCTTCTCAATCTTTGTTTCTCCATATTAAGTAGTCCAATTCCTTGACCCATTTCCCACCAACTCTTTCCTCCATCACTTTCAAGAATTTCTATGATATATATACTACAGTCTTCGAGACCTCAATTTTCTCTTGAGTTAGCAGGCTCCAAAGTCAGTCTTGAAGAGAGCCCATAAAGACATGTATCTCTACCTCCCCAATTTAGAAATTTTAAATAGAGGCATTTTGCCAAAAAAATCAGTTTTAAAGTGGATTTTAGAAAGCTTTAATGCTAAAGAGGTTTTGCTTCAGAAAATCCCACATATATATTGTGATGGTTAATTTTATGTGTCAAGGTCATGGTATCCAGATATCTGGTCAAACATTATTACAGATGTTTCTGTGAAGGTACTTTTTAGATGAGATTAACATTTAAATCAGTAGACACTGAGTAAAGTAAATTACCCTCCATAATGTGGGTGAGCCTCATCCAACCAGTTGAAAGCTTTAATAGAAAAAGATTGACCTCCACAGAAGAAGAGGGAATTCTGCCAGCAGACTGCATTTTGGACTTGAACTGCAGCATCAGCTCTTTCCTGTGGCTCCAGCCTGCCAGCCTACCCTGCAGATTTTGACCTTGACAGCCGTCATAATCCATGTGAGTCAATTCCTTAGACTAAATCTCTCTATATATTTAATAAATCTCTCTATATATTTATACACATCTTATTGGTTCTGTTTCTCTGAAGAACCCTGACTAATACATATACGATAGTCATCACCATGGACTTTGAAGTCAGACACACGTGAGTTTCAAATTGTGCCTTTGCCATATTATTTAGTCTTATGACCTTAGATCTCTGTTTCCTTATCTGCTAAAATGAGGATAATCATCTGAACCTCTCAGAACTGTTGTGTGGATTAAAGGAAATCATGTATACAAAGCACTCAGCACAATGCTTAGCACAAAGTAATTGTTCAATAAGTGTGGGTTACTATTATTGTCATTGATGCTATTGCCATTTACAATGAAAATTCTCTCCCTAAACTTGTTCCATAGAAACAATTTTAGGGACTGCCACTTTTATTCACCCTCTCCTTGACTCCTTGAAATGTGTTTTGATCACACAAAATCCATCCTGAGTTGCACATTTTTAAAATTCTTCCTACAGTACGGAAACTAATAGTTACAACTTACTTGAGCTTCTGTAATTTGCAATTTGGATCTTTTAAGCCTTCACAAAGCAATTTCAAAGCTGAAGCTTCCAGTTTTGTTTCACTAAACTCCAGCTCAGTAAGCCACTGATTGCTGCTGAGAACAGCTGCTAGCGCCCCACAAGAAGCAGGAGAGATAAGGCATCGGTAGAACCTTCAGAGAACAGAAGAATAACCTCATTAACTTACTTGTGCTCTTCCCCCACACAAACAGAAATTGATAAAAAATGATATGAACACAGAAAACAAATTCTCCTGCTAGTAGTTACCTCAATGTCTGTAAGACACAGTTTGACCGTTTTAATCCTTGACACAGAAGCTTCATTCCTGAATCTTCCAAGGTATTTTTCACAAATTCCAAATCTGTCAGATACTGGTTGGTTTCAAATACTAAGGAGAGGTCCCTACCACAAGAGGCTGTGAGGTGGCAGAAAATCAGTCTGTGTGGAGAAAAACTCATTTCAGAGAAGAAAGAAAATAGGACTCTCTTTAAAGGTACCTGTTTGCACCTTACCATTCATTCAACAATTAATTTATTGAGTGCTTACCACTGTGTGAGATGACAAAAACACAGAAATAATTAAGACCCAGATCTGCCCTCAAGGAATGCCCAGTTAATGGGGGAAAAAAAGAGAAAATCATGGGTGATAATACAGTGTGAAAAGCACTCCAAGTGGTATGCACAAGGCATGCTGGGGACACGGAAAGGTGGCAGAATTCAGCCTAGCTTTGGGTGAGTTTTGGAGGATTAAGAAATACTTGAGTGCTTTGGTGAAAGTGGAATAGAGACTGAACAGGAGATAGCTGGATGAGGAGAATGGGAGTGGGGAGAGCAGGAGGAGCTGAGGGGTAATCCGCTCATGGAGCAGCCTGTGCAAAGGCCAGGAGGAAAGAGAGAAGACGCTTTGTGTGAAAAACTGCCAATTACTTGCTATGGCCTATTTTCACAGACTGGAAGGATAAATATCAAACTATTAACAGTGGTTATCTTCTAGGTTGGGGGAAGAATGGGATTATAGGGAGAAATTTACTTTCTAGGTATTCAAAAATTATTCACAATGATCAGAAGTTATCAGAAAAAATAATTTTTTTAATATTGAAAAACATAATACATGCTTATTTTAAGTAATTTTTACAATAGAAAAAATATCAAGAATAAAATTTCGTTTTAAGTACTGTATTCCTACCATCCAAAGACAGCCACTATTAAAATTTTGCTATATAACTTTCCAGATTTTTAATACATGCATACTTATAGAGTTATACGTTCTTTGTAACAAACGAAATTATAGAAAGATGTATTTTAAAAAGATAAAAACTTTTTCGCAACCTCCCCTCCAACTCCACCTCCCAGAGATAACCAATGTTAACAGTCTGGTGTATGTCCTCCACTTCTTTCTCCAAGATCACAGAAACATATGCAAACACACACACACACAGAGGATTTGTTTGTACATTTTACAAAAATGGGACCATAGAAAACATTACATCAACTTTACATGCACTGTCATTCAGCCTTCATCGTAGGCCCATAGGTAGAAACTGAGATTCAGTTATAGCACAACGTCATATAGTAAGTGGCAATGTAGGACTCAGCCTGAGGTCCGTCTGGTTTATCCTGTAGGCTTCAGAAAGCCATTGGAGTTTTAAAGAGACATGATCAGATCTCTCTGGTGACAGGGTAGGGCAGAAGACAGATCTGATGTCAGAGGTCCAGGGAAGAAATGATGGGGGAGGGGGCTGGACGAGGATTGTGGGGGAGGGGGTGGAGGCTGACAGATTAAAGACACATTTTGGGAGTGGAAATGGCCAGGATTTATGACCATTTAGGGTGACTACAATGTTCAGTCCTGGGCAAATGGGGCATGAGGATGTTCTCTGGCTCCACCCTCTTCCTCAAGGGGGTACCCGAGGCCACTGAAGGATTGGGGCTGTTTCCTGTTCTAGAATATTCCATCTCTAGGAAAGGAGGGCCCCCTGGCATGGGGCAAACCATTATGGGGGGGCATTTTGTACTTGATTACAAGTGCTTCATGTTCTTGGTTCTCAGTCCTTTCTGACCACTCCTATTTCTCCCCATGGAGGGACCTTATTCTCTCATCTGCCAGCGCCAGCACCCCAGATCCTCCCATCTTTCCTAGGAGCCCTTGGAGGAAGAGAGGTGCCCTCTCTCTTTTCTCTTTGGGCATAGTAGGTGGGCGTGTTCGGCCTGCACCTCCTCTGGCCCCCAGCTGGAGAGGTGAGGTCTGGTGGGAGGTGTCCTAGGGTGGGGCAAGCCAGTCAGGGGGTCTTTACATGGGGGTCTGGGGTCGGAGGGCAAGGGGAGGAGAGGAGACCAAGTGGGAAGAGAGGGGACAATTAACTGATTCACGCCCCTCAGGCCCTCAGCTGTCATGGCCTTGAAACCTGAGGACCCCTGTGGTGGGTTCCAGCATGGCCAGGTGGCGGCCTTCATGAATGAGAAAATGGCCAGGCACGCAAAAGGCCCTGAGTTCTACCTCGAGAATATATCGCTGTCCTGGGAGGAGATACAAGACAAGCTCAGGGCCATCCTGGAGGACGGTGCGGTGCCCAGCAAAGCCAAAGAGAACTGTGCCTGGGGCAGCCTGGCCCTGGGCCTGCACTTCACCTGCAGACAGGGCCAGTTACATGGGCGCAGAGTGCAGTCACTGCAGGACTTGGCCAAACTGCATAAGTCAGCCACACAAGCCTTGGCCTCAGTTGTGAAGGAGCTCACAGTGCAGCAGATGGAGTGCAAGGAGGCAGCCTTCCAGCTGCTGCGGCAGACTAATGCCAACCTGGCAGAAATGCAGAAAGAGGGGGACCTTCTAAGGTGGAAGCTCCTCCAGGCCCTAAGATTACCCAGACTTGGTCCCTGCCCCATCTCCCCGCCCTGCCCTCCGCCCCCCTCTCCATCCCCAGAACTGGTCTCAACTGTGCTCACTTCTCTCCAGGAGCTGGGGTCTCCCTGGGAGTGGGTCGCAGAGCGGCCAGGCCTGGCCACTGCCAGTAGGGCTGGGACAGAAGGAGCAGGTGAGAAGGAAGAGGAGGTGAGCGTGGCTGCTGCTACTACTGCCACCGCCGCTGGCGCTGCAGGAGGAGGAGGAAGACAGAAGGATGCGGAGGGGGAGGAGGCTGCAAAGGAGCTGGGTGGAGGCCTTGTGCAGCTTCTTGGAGCTCTGGAGCAGAAAAATTACCCCTCTGGCGGGCAGAGGGAGGGAGGTCTCAGGTCTGCGGAAACAGCCATGTTTTACTTCTCTGAGACCATGGAGCCCGGGTCCACAGTCTCCCCAGCACCCCTTCCTGTGCAGCTCCCGGCCTCATTCACATACTCCTATTCATGCCCCTTACTCCCTTTTCCAGACGCACCCACAGCATCCCCACCAGCAGCAATGTTCAGGGCAGGAGCTCCGTCTCAGTCGTCTCCTCACTGGGGGCCCTCTAATGTTAGCTTATGGCCTGATGTGGGGGCCCAGGGAATAGATCCTGAATCCCAGAGAGACAAGAGAGGCTTCAATCCCCATGGTCAGGGAAGACCTCCAGTATTTCGCAGGCCCGGGGACTGGGACTGCCCTTGGTGTAAGGCTGTGAATTTTTCAAGGAGGGAAATTTGCTTCCGCTGTGGGAGGGGAATCTGGCTACAAAACCCTTGAATTCAAAAACGTGAAACAGAACAGAAACATCCCAATGGGAAATCAATTTTCAGAGGGAGGGGAAAAGGTAGGGGAGGGTTTGGGAAGAGTGGGGGGGGTGAGTTGGCGGATGGGACAAGGGGGTTGTGAGAGAGGTGGGGAAGTGGGGTGGGGTGTGGGGTGGCAGCTGGGGAGGGTGTAGATTGGGGGGTTGGGGGTGAAGAGAGACATAGAGACATGTTTTGATGACCCCCTTTGTGTTCCAAAGCATTAGCATTCCACACCCCAGAAGTGCTGCAGCTTCTATTTATGTGTATCTCTCTCCCCAACCCTAGTCTCTGGTGGACCTGGGCAGCCATGTATATAACGACTCACTCCCTCCTGCCACCTGGGCTGTAGATGATTGGCACAGGAGTGGACATTTGACCCATCCTGAGCAAAACAGATTCTCACACTAGAGAATCTGAACAGAGAGGCAGATTCCACAGTCAGGCTGGTGCTGGGCAATGAAACGGTGGGTCACTTGGAGTTGGGGCTAAGGTCAGAGCCATGGACACTGAGGCCACAGCTGAGCCCTGGCTTTGGGGTAGCAGAACCATGTGCTTTACAGAGGCCAAGTGTCTTTTAGAGGGTGACAGTATGAGGTCCCAGGGAGCACACAGGCACAGAGAAGCAGAGAGGAGTTGATCCTGTGACCCCAGAGATGGCGAGAGTGGCGGCCCGACCACGTTTCCATTTTCTGCAATTGTGCTTTGTGAAAAGCCACTTTACACAGATCCCTTTTTCTTTAAGCTAAGTTGAGTGGGTTCCCGTTCTGGGCAACCAGATTATTTCCAAGACAGAAATTGGCACCAGAAGAGCTGTTGCAAACCACACACCATCAAAGAAAATGTTGGAACTGGCTGGGGAGGTTCCTCAGGGAGTGAGAGGTAGTGGGGATTCCTGCATCCCCAGAGTCCCCAGGAATGAACTGGACAGGAAGCTCTTTCATGTTCTGGGTGAGTTATATCACGAGAAACAATCAAAACAGGCCTGGGGCAACCTGGGCTTACAACATGGCAGAGATCTGCCACCTCTAAGGGAATCCCTCAGGGCTGCATACAGAGGACAACGGGACCAGCTGCAGGTGAGGATGGCTGTGGCTGTTCAGCCCCACGACAGGAGAATCCTCCCCAGTCCGCAGTGGGCAGAACTGGGGACAGTCAGATCTGATCAAGGAACTCATGCCACTGCCAAGGAAGTGAGTCAGCAACTGATAGTGCCCGGAGGGTTTGCTGGGCCAGACCACTGACCAAAGTATGGTGCCATCCTGAGAGATCCTTTCCCCTAACCCACCACCAGGATAACAGTAGGAGGGAAATCTGGCTATGAAGCCCTCAGTGAATTCAGAAATGTGGAATAGAACATATCCCAATGGGAAATCAATGTCCAGAGGGATGGGGTGAACCGGGAGGGGGGAGAGGGGAGAATGGTCTGCATCTTCCCCTCTGATGACTGTAAGCTATCTTGGGGGGCAGGGCTAATGCATGGTTTAGCCTGCAGGTGGCAGGATGGTGCGGAGTCACACCTGGACCAGACTGAGACAACTAGAGGAGCCCTCGACATCGCCTGGAGACTGTGGACCTAGAGACTGAAGCTGTCATGGCCCTGGGACATCTCTGCAACAGCTGGATGTGACCTTGGGCTGTCTCCTGTTGGGGAAGATGTGGACAACCATCAGGATTGGGGGCAAGATCCCCAATATGCACTTGTCAGAAATGTCCTTGGGCTCATTTCCATCCTTCTAGAGCAGGGTTTCCCAAGTTCAGCACTCTTGACACTTGAGGTTGGATAATTCTTTGCCGCAGGGGGCTGTCCAGTACACTGTAGGATGTTTGGCAGAATCCCTGGCCTCTACCCAGTAGATGCCAGTAGCACATCCCCCCCGAGTTGTGAAGACCAAAAATGTCTCCAGATATTGCCACAGGTCCACTGGGGAGCGAAATCTCTCCTGGTGAGAACCATGGAGGCAATGAGGTACTTAGGAGTAGTCAGAACAGGGGGAAGAGAGTTGCAGGGGAGCATGCTCAGCAGTGCCGGAGCTGCAGGGGGCCCCTAAGATGAGAGGTGAAAAGTGTCCATTGGGTCTGGCGTTCACTTTTGATCTTTGAGCAGATCTGGGCGGGGGAGGGGCATAAGCCCACCTGCAAGGACTGAGCAGTGAGCAAGAAGGGAGGATGCGCAGTCAGTGAGGGAGGCTCTTCTTCAAGGACTCCTGGCTGCGGAGGGAAGGAGTGAGTTGGGATACATGGCTGAGAGAGAGTTCTTTTGGATATGGGAGAAACTTGAGCCATGGGGAAGGAGATAGCTGAAGAAAGCTTGAAAACGCAAGAAATATGTAAAAGAATGAGGTAGATCCTGCATACAGTATTTGAGGCATGTCCACCGTACGGTTCAATGAAAAAAAAATATGATAGGGCCAATTTTGTATTTTTGTGAAACAAAACCCCCAAAAGTTCTATAAAAGTCTATACATATACTATGTATATTATAGACTTATGTGTGCTTTATGTTATAGATTTATGTGTGAATAACCAAACAAGGTATTACCTAGGGAGGGTGGGATCAAGGCCAGGATAGGAAGTAGGAGTTGGCGATGTGGAGGTATGGGGTTGGGTGGGGTACGGGGCAGTACGGTGGAAGGCTTTTATATTTTTATATACCTCTGTGTTTTGTAAGGTTAAATAATTGAATGCCCACAAAAATACAAAAAATAAAAAGAAGTGAATTTACTGGCTTGGGTGGGTTTGGAAAGGCCACCTCTTCCTCTGGGACTGGAAGGAAGGAGAGCAGATACTGATCTGTATGGCGAGGGCGTGGGAAAGCAAGGGGGCTCATGCCTGTGTGTTCGTGATGTGGACAGACAAGCAGACAAGACACCTGAGAGTGAGCACGGGCGGAAGGTCAGGGTGGGAGTGGGGGCTTCTGAGCAATGGCACTTTGGGGAATAACAGGGAGATGGGGGTGGGGAATGGAGGGAGAGAAAAGGATCAACAAGATGCACGGAGTGGGATAGAACCCAACTGAAAGAAAACCAAGGAGGAGGACTGTGGAATTCTGGAAGGAAAAGGAAGGAGCTTAGGTCCAGGAGGGGCACCAGACAAAAATCTCTTAGGTGTTACAGCCTGCCACCCACTTGCTACAGCAAAAACAGCACCTATAAAAGGGGAAGAGGCAGGAGGGGCTGGCAGGGATCTGTGCCTGACTCCCTACCCCTTCTAGGCTCACAGCCCATCTTTTCATTTGCTGGTTCACTATGGAGAAGCTGAGCACTAGTTATACTTGGTTTTCAGGTCTGATCAGCTGAGAGTACAATTTCTAGCAACCCAGTCTTTACCTGCAAATATCTAAGAGTTTAAAGCAAAGTTCAACTTACTTCAGGTCTTTGATTTTACAATCTGGATTACGCAGTGCTTGGCAGAGCAAGTGTAGCCGAGACACTGGCAAATTGCCCAGCTGGAAGGACCTAAAAGAGATGAGAAAGCAAAAATAATTTAAAACAAAATAATTAAAAATAAAATTTTAAGTAAAAGGCTTATTTTGGCTTTTGTTCCCATACTAGTACTAACTCCCTCTTTCAAAAACCTTAGGAGGTATTACTCCATTTTGCAAATAAGGAAATAAAGGCTCCCCCAAAATTAAGTAATTTGCCTGAGGTCACATAGGTAGGAAGAGAACAGAGGTCAGTACTCAGGTCTGCCATGTTACTGTGTGCCAGGCATCAAGGTAAGCAATTTAAATACACAAGTTATCTTATCTGGTCCTTAACCCAATGACAGGTATTGTAATCACTATTTTGCAGATGCTCAGAGAGGTCGAGTGATTGCCCAAGCTATCTTTACAATATAACTGATTCTTGGTCATCAGTACTAATCGAAAAATTAATGACAATAACTGAGAACTAGGAAAATTCAATAGTAAACTCCCACTTGGTCAACATGCTTACGAAAGGAGTATTTGGGGTTAAATTTTCAAGTCAGTTTAAGCCCTCTGATAAAGGCAGTAGAGTTGGGGGTATGGACTCCATCTAAGGCTTATTTTCTGGAAACCCAGAATGAACTAGAAGCCCCTTTTTGTTTCCATCAGTGTTTAAAAATCTCTCAAAGTATTTGTCCATTATTTTACTTTATGATATACAGTTGGATTCAAGATGTCATGAATTCATCAAGACATTGTAGCCAAGGTCCTTCATAATTCTGAGTCCATGTAATCTCTTCTACCCCTCTCCCTCTTGTCCCAAACACAAACTCTTGCTGCACCTCCCTTCTTCTCCCCACTTCCCTCAAACACACATACCCCACGCTCATTTCCATCTTTATGCTACTGCCCACTGAGGAAATAACAACTATCAGATAAAAGACTCGGGTTAAATCACTCTCCAAGTAGAGCCTCCTGCTCACTCTTATCTCCTTCTCAAGGTCCACTACCCCTCAGCTGGCCCTGCAACTAAAGGAGAGGCAACCGTCCATCTTAACCTGAGTACTGAGAACAGATTTATGACCAGGGGCATTTTCTAAATAACACAGGTATAAGTCTTCTTGGCTACTTTAGTCAGTAAGTCAGTAGAACTGTATTTTGTAGTGTACAGTCCATATTATATAAGTGATTTACCTAAGCCTCTTTGAACTCCAGCTGTGGACCCTCTGTGAAGGTGCAAGTCTCATGGAAAGAGCCCAGGCTTTACAGCAATATATACAGGAGTGCAGCTCTGCCCCTTACTAACCTGGAGCTCTTTGAGGCCTCAGTGATGAAGTACATGTAGAGGAGAGTGACAACCAATTCAATGCTAAGTTTACAACCTTTTCCAGAATAGTCATCAACACCAAAATAGCAGGGTCCTCAATGATAATCTTGATGACTTATGTGCTCATAACACTTTATAATTATAAAGCACATTCACAGACTGACAATGAAGACTAACAGAGACACACACACACTCTCATATATACACACTTATAAGTGCTTAGCACAGGGCCTGGCACATAGTAAGTGCTCAAAAATGTTAGCTTTCCCTCAGTGTCTACCTACACCAGTGTTCAATGTGTGACAGATATTCAATAAATCTTTATTGTGTTGATTGACATAAAATACGGAAAACAGAGACGATTTGTTTTATTTATAGACAATGCTAGAAATGATCATGTGCCTGAACACTCGAAATAAACAAGAAAGTCCATCGTTTCTGAAAGCCAAAACACTGGGGAAAAGACATTACTATACTTACTGATTAAGCATCAAAGCTGGTGGCATGAATGTTGAGGCTCGCTCTTCCTCCTCAAATCCAAGTAGGTGCTGACACTTCAGAGACATTGACAGTTGACTATGACTGCTCTTTACACAGAACGACATAGCCAGAAGGTCCATTTTTGTATAGGTAGGTTGAAGCAGTATAACTGACTCTAAATCACTCACTATCCTTTTTGCATATTCTTCTTCCTGAATCTCATACAGGCAGTGAAACAAGTCCATTGGCTCAATCTGTAACCTAGAAGATTTATCCTTTATTTCTTTCTCAGTCCACTTCAATAACTCCTCTCGAAGTCCTGGAGAGACTTTTCTTCCAAAAGTAGTTTCCACAGCCTTTCCCTTTCCTTTATGTAAGACGCCAAATAAGAACTGTATTGTTAATGATGAAAACCCTTTTCCATATTGTTGGAATATTTCTTGCCATGTTTTCCCCACTTGATCAAAAAACATCCAGCTGCTGTCATTCTTCAGGGCATAGAAAACAGCAGTCAAGAACTCTTGGAAACTGAAGTGAAGGAAAGTGTAGACATTGACACCCCCTTCAGCTTTTTTCAAAAAGTGACTGAGAAAAGTGCAGTTGGTATCGTACACTCCTATCCCATGTCTTCTGAGGTCGCTAATTTCAAATAGGACCTGCTGGCTCTGCAGGCCCTTTGCAGCCAAAGAGCAAAGGCCCCACAGGCAACTCTGTCCCTTCCACACAGAGACGCCTGTAAGGGTTTTGAGGCACTTGGAAAAGTAGAACAGATACACATCAGTCATGGTCTGAAGTGACCTCATGAGAGTCCTGTCATCATCTCCCTGTGACTGCAGGACACTGCAGATCATCCAGGAGATGATGGGAAGAGAAGACATAACATCAAGGCCCTCATTTTCTCGTAGACCATAGAAGACTCTCATCGCTGTATTAGCACCTGAAAACTGACTCAAGAGATATGCTCTCTTTTCAGCATCTGTAAACCATAGGATCTCTGCCTGGATAGGTTGTTTTAACAGAGAGTGGAGTTTCTTCATGGAAACAGGCCGGGCAGTTATCAGGAGGGAGGATTCGGGTAACAGTTTTTTCCTCACGAAACTACATAAGAGGGTCTCTATTGGCTTCTTCTCCCGGGGGTTAGCACTAAGATCCTCTTCTTGGTCACCTACAGTGTTCTGGAGCTCAGGGAATCCATCAAGAATAAACAGAAGCTTCTCTGGATATACAAGAATAACGTCCAAGATTGGTCCGTCTATATCTTGAAAAGTGTTAGTGATCAGGTCAGCAGCACTAAGGTTAGCAATATGGCTTATTTCTCTACAGTTTACATAGATGAGATAGTCAAACCTGCCTGGAGTAACCACTCCTGCTGCCCAGTCAAACATGAACTTGTGCACCACGGCTGTTTTCCCAGTCCCAGCACATCCCTGAAGCACCACAGTTCGGGATGAGCTAGAGCCCTCTTCATCAGGATCAAACACATGTCCCATGTCAATAAAATTATCTTGTTGAGGAATTCCATATGATGCCTCTTCTGATATACCGTGCTCTTTTACAACAAGCAGTCGTGACTCTATATGCTTGCCATGGTGATAACATTTATCAACTCCTATTTTTAGGTATTTTTCTTTTAGATGTTTTCTAAATACTTCCCGGTAATCTAATGAGGTGACACCAAAAGTTAGTAACCACAGAATCCTAAACACCAATACAAAAAACAACTATTACTAATACTACCATCTTCACTTGGATGTCTCACTTACATGTCTAAACCTGAGCTCTTGATTTCTACGCCACTGCCCGCCCCCCCGAAAAAAAAACTCTCCCCAGGCCTTTCATCTCAGTTAAATAGTGCCACCGAGTTGCTCAAAAAATATTAGGAGTCTTTATTTCTTTATTCCCTTGAATCTTTCACATCCAATCAATTAGCAAGGCCTATCATTTATACCTCCAAAATAAGCCTCCAATCCATTTACTTATCACGAAGTCCTCAAATACTACCCAAGTCCCAGGCACTATCAGCTCTTTCCTGGACTGCTAAAATCGCCTCCTACTCATCTACTCTTGCCCATCTATTGGTCCTCTCCACACAGCAGCCCATGTGATCTTCTAAAAATATCAATTACATCATGTCACTGCCCTGCCCAAAACCTTTCAAGAGCTTTCATTGCATTTGGTATAAAATCCCAGATCCTTACCTTATCCTACAAAGTGTGCCATGATCTGGGCCCTACCTACCTCCCCTCCCAGACTCATTTTATATTACTGTCCTTCTCAGTCCCTACAGTAAAGCCACACTGGCCTACTTTTAGTTTCTCACAAATACCATGTTCTTTCCTACTTTAGGGCCTTTCCACTAGCTATTCTCTCTGCCTGGAACACTCTTCCTCCTGCTCTTCCCATGGACAGGTCCTTCTCATCCTTCAGATCTCAACTTAAACATTACTTTCTAGAAGAGGTCTTGCCTGACCACCCAATTTAAAGCAGATCCTCCCTACCATTCCCTTTCCCAGCACCCCGTTTTCCCTAGATAGCACTTATCACAATTTATAATTGCCTTGTTTATTTTTTCATTATCTGTCTTTCTGACTAAACAATAATCTACATGAAGACAGGGACCTTGTCCATCTTCTTCACCATAGTACTGTAAGTACCCAGAATGGTGCCTGGCACATAGTAGACACTCAATAAATATTTATTGAATATGGCTATAAATGCTTTTGAATTAAAAACAAGTCATTTATTATTGACTATTCTGTGCCAGATACTGTACTAGGCCCCTTACATACATTTCTGATTTAACTCTCACAATAATCCCATGGAGCAGGTAGGTATTATCCACATTTTATAGTTGAGGAAATTGAAACTCATAACCAGGGTTATAAGTTCATGGGTGACCAATCTGTGCACAGGTCTCATGCTCAGAAGGACCCATGCTTGGTGTAATGCTCTGCTGTCACTATCTTGAATATCTTATTTTTTTTAATTCTAATTTAGATGTTTTTTCCTTCCCAAAGCCCCAGTACACGGTTGTATATCCTAGTTGTAAGTCGTTCTAGTTCTTCTATGTGAGCGGCTGCCACAGCATGGCAACTGACAGACAGGTGGTGTGGTTCTGCGACTGGGAAGCAAACCCAGGCCGCCAAAGCCGTGAGCGCCGAACTTTAACCAGTAGGCCATCAGGACTGGCTCTTAATAATTGTTGAACCAGTGATCCTGCCTTTTCATTTTGCACTGTACCCCATAAATTATGTAGCTAGTCCTGCTTATAGCATCAGTAACTTGTCCAAGGTTCGATAGCTAGTAAGTGGCAGAGACTTAATTAAGATTCAGGTTTGTCTGAAGCTATGATCTATGTGCTTAAATACCATACTACATAGCTTTTCACCTTCTGCAACTAGAAAAAAATAATCCAAGGAGTCAGTTATCAAGTTCAAACTTCTGTTAAGTGAATATCTAAGCTAGGATTTCCCAAACAAGTGTTCCTTGGAACACTATTTTGCAAGATATTAATAGGAGAGCTGTGAAAAAGGTGTCCTGTGGTCAAATAAGTTAAGGGGAATGCACCCTCTACCCCCTTTTAGATTCTCAATCCGTATTAGCATATGAAAGGCTCTGGGATGACCTACAGTAAAAAAAAAGGCTGTTTAATTTTGTTTAATCCAGCATTTTCTGGTCTTAAATGACTATAGAACCCTTTTCTAAAAGCAAAGTTATTAATTCCTGGAGAATAGTATTCTGTAGAACTCAGTTTGGGGAATGCTGACCTAGATAAGTGTTGGCAAACTTTTTCTGTAAAATTCTGTAAATAGTTTAGGCTTTTGGGTCTCTGCTGCAATTACTCAACTCTGCCATCTTAGCCGAAAGCAGCCATAGACAATATGCAAATGAATGGGCATGGTTGGTTCCAGTAAAACTTTTATTTACAAAAACAGGCAGCTGGCTGGATTTGGCCTGCTAGTTTTAACTTGTTGACCTCCATCTAGATCATTCCAGAAATAGACTGGTCTATTCTAGCCATAAAATTGTGTATATCTGGTGCTTGACCACCACCATCGGAAGTCCTCCCAGTATTCGAATACCTATTCTATATGATATAAAAGTCCTATTTGTTATGACCATTTGGGGCTTCATAGATATTACCAAAAATATCAACGATTGTTGCCCAATGAATATAGGAGAGGAGTGGGGATGAGCAGCCAGGTTCATGAGAGGCACTATTACCAAAACAGAAAAAGAGAGTAAAACAGAAAAGACATCTACCTATAAGCTCCTTCCATGAATATGAAGCCAGAGAACTTGAAGCAGCTGTAGAAGGAAAAGAGCTGAGGTTAAGAATTGCACAAATACACCTTCATACCAAAACATGAAATATACATAAGTTTAGTCACATTATTACAGCCATTCATGCTGCTCCACAAACAGAAATACAACGAAGAAAGAAAGTTACCTCGCATCTATTCTAACTTACCCACCAAGGTATTTTATAGCTAATGTCCAACATAAAGTAAAATGTAAGAACTTCCCACACAGATATATTTAGGATGTAAACATTTACATTTACATGACCAATAAGGAAAATTTTAGGCATGAACTTAAAGGCGCATACATTATTTGAAGAGACTGTTTCTGGTACTTTGCTTTCCATTGAACATTACCCTATTGGTTCTGTTGGAGCTTCTGTTGAGCCTAACTTGTTAATGAGAAAGAATAAGGCATTGCTGATGTTAGTTCAACAGATATATACAATGACTTACATTCAAATACATATACACACACACTCAATCCAAACCCTTACATATATAGGTATACAGATAAAAATATACAAATGTGTGCATGCGCACACACCACACACACACGCACCCCTCCACATTCCTATAGGTTTTTAGTACTTGAACACCTTTAAAAGCAAGAGTGAGACTTATAGTTGGGAGAAGGTGTAACTAGGTGAATGGGAGGAAGCAGAGTCTGAAGAGGCGGATACTAGAATATCACAGAAATGGGCAGGCAAGTGAGTGGTCTGTTGAAGACAAGTTTCTATTCCCCTTAACTAAACATTCCTTGCAGTTCAGAAATCAGTCACAAGGAAAAGGACTCCAGCAATCTTCACTCTTTGCTTTTTTGGGCTGTCTCCTGTGAAAATTTATGGTTACAGTAAAGGGAGAGACAAGATTCTTTTATGATTATAAATGCTTTCGGTATTATGGAAAACAGTAGAAACTATAATTGCCTCTTCTCCTTGCTGTCCTTTTCCTCATTTTTGGAAACACAAATATTATGGAGACATTTTCAAGAGATTATTAATGGGTAAATACTGTATCCATGTAATATCTTAATATACACACACCGATACACATGCAACACAATTTTAAAGATTCGAAAGAATCCCAAAGTCTATGAGGAGAAGAAGTTGGGGAAACATAATGAACAGGATTACCTAAATTATACCCCCTCTTACCTCATTTAGTTACTCACCTTTCTGTTCAGACAATAAACTCCAGGTACAAGCAGGTTCCATATCTTTTCTTTTCTTTTGACTGTTCATCTTGGCAAATCAAGAAGACCATAATCCAAAACAGAAATGATGACTGTAAGGCCTAGTGGAAGCCCAGAGTAAAAAGGCAACTCAAGAAAGACTACTCATTTAAGGAACTATAGAGTTGAGGAAGAGAGAAAGCCCAATAACCAAGTAGGTAGCTTGGGTGGGACTTGGGGGGATCATATGAAGATAGACCAAAGCCGATAGTTTTCAACTTGGAGAGAAAAAAACTAAAAGAGGAAAGAATATCTGCAAACTTTTGAAGAGCTCAAATACAGGGAATGTCAAATTGGGCTCTGAATTGGGTTACTAAGGAAAGCATAAGATTTAGGGAGTACAACTGTAATGTTTGCGGTCAAGATAAGAAAGAATACCTATGTCCTTCCACAACATATTTTTGGTGCCATTGGTAAAGGGAGAAATCTAAGACCATAGATTCGAATAATGTGGTATAAGAGAAACAGTCTAGAGAGTCAGGAGATCTATGCCCTAGTTCCACGTCTATATCTATCTATGGATCTTTAGTAAGATTCTTCCACTTTCTGGATCTGTTTTATTTTGAAAATGGCTGAAGGAATTAACATTGCCCAGGTTTCTTTCCAGGTTGAAGACTGTAAGGTCAGTGGTTCTCAGTTCTAGCTGCACATTAAAATCACCTTCACACCACCCTCTGGAATTTTTTTTTCTTTTTTGCAATATTACTTATCACTTTCTGACACACTTGATAATTTTCTTATGTATTATGCTTATTGTTCATTTTCAGTCTTTCTCACCTAAATTGAATTATTGGCCCCAATTCTCAGCCTTTGCCATGAACTTTGCAAGTTTACACAAAAGAAGTGGAGCTTATTTTCCCAACTCTTGTCTTTGAGCTCAGCCTTGTGACTTGCTTTGGCTAATGGAGTGTACACAGATGTGACTCAAGCAGGGACTTGACTTGAAATGTGCTTGCACAGTTGAACATGTCCCCTCTCGTGATTCTGCCACTAACATGAGACAAACCATGAGAGAAACAAGCCTCAGCTAGTCCACTGGTCTGAGGATGAAGAAATATAAGAAGCAGGGCTACTCGTTTACTCACAGTCCTGAAGCAGGAAAAGAAGTAGAGTCACCCCAGCCCGAGTCAGAGGTGCCCAACAGAGCCCTGCCTAATGAGCTGAATCCCAGCTGGCCTCCAGATCTGGGAGAATAAGTGCTTCATAAATTCTTAATTTTTCATGCCACTAAGATTCTGTGGTTGTTATGTGTCATTGTGGCAATAGCTAACGGATACATCTTGCTAGAAAGTAAATGCCTAGAAAGTGTTTGGCATAGAGAAGACATTCATTAAATGTTTATTGAATAAACTGAATGAATGAATAAAATCCTTTTTAAAAAGAAATCCAATGCCCAGTCTGCATTCCTGAGAAATTAAATCAGAATCTTTTATGATGAGGTTTGGCATCGATTTTTTTCGTAAAAGCACCCTGGGTGATTCTAATACATAGCAAGGGAAGGGAAGAAAGCCACAGTTCTAAGATTTAGTTATTTTTGATAGAGGAGAGTGTATTGATGAAACACACAGGGTTTGTAATCAAACAGATGTGTTCAAGCCCTAACTCCACCACTTACTATGTGACAATCATGAAATTAATATCTCTAAGCCTCAGATTCCTCAACTGTTAAATAGGGATAACAACAGTACTTTCCTTATGAGGTTATTAGGAGGATTAAATGAGATAATGCATATAAAGTATTCAGTACACTTCATGGTACACAGGAAGGGCTCAGTAATCCTAAACTATAGCTAATGTTGGTGTTGCTGTATCATTTAATATGGAGCAGAAATGTCTTTGAACTCGGATACTCCTTACCTAAATCCCATTTCCACCGCTTTCTAGCAATATGACCTTGAGTAAATTACTTAAACTCTCTGAGACTACAGTAACCCATCCATAAAATATGGTGATAGTAATAACTACTTCATTAATTTGTTGTGAGGATTAAATAAGATGACATACATAAAACACTTAGCACAGGACCAAGTGTAATATAAATAATAAATGTTAGAGAAAAAAATAAGACGGCATTTATTATAACTTACAGAAAGTAGTTAACATTCCATTAAAATCTCCGCACAACTACTTCATTCTCATGAGATGGAATGTTCCCAGCACAGTGTTATACTCCCACACCCTGGACTCTTTTCTCAATCACTAGGAATATCATGTCCTCCATAAAATAGAAACAACCCTCCAGTCACAAATTACTCCAGTAAGCACTCTGGCTTTCAGGTAATGGAGCTAGAGGAGTGCATGGCCACTCACTCTCTTTCTGGACAATCTCAACCATGCCCATTATTTCAATCATCCTTGCAACTCCTAATTGTTTATCCTAGTCTAGCCCTCTCCTCTGAGATCCAGATTTATACATCTAAAGGCTTACTCAACATCTTCACTTGGATGTTGACATCCTCTTTTCTCACCTCCTTTGGTAGCTACTGTTTGGTCTGTCCAGCATTCTTTCACTGATCTTTGTTCTGATAAGACATCCCATCCCTCTTAGCGGAATAATCAGATTCTCTGTGCCTTAATTTTTAAACCTGAGTGGAGACTATAGGGACTGAGGTTCTGCTACCCAAATGCCTCAAGCTTCCTTAGTTCCTGACTTTCTTGAGGTCTTGTTTTTCAGCACTTCATTTGGTTTTGAGCAATTCCACTGTCCTTCCAAAAATCCAATTTTTGCTTAAGTTACTCAGAATCAATTTCTGTCGCCTGCAACTAAGAACTCTGACTTGGAAATTATACCAGAGAGTGAGTTATAGTCAACAGACTTTTGGGGAAATGCCTATGGAGGCATTTTATAACTGATTATTAGACCCAGTTAGATTAAAAGGCTGTGAGACGGCCCAAATCCCAGGATGGGAAAACAGCATCCATTGTACTAGGATCTCCACTAGAACATATGGAATCTTTAGGCAAATTACTAAAAGGTGTCCTCTCCAAGAAAACAAATCAAAGTAAGATGTCTCCCCTGAGCAACTGAATTAGAAGTGGTAAAATGATGCTTCTTCCTGTCAGCTAGGGTAGCACCGAGCTAGGGAACACAAGTTACAGAGTAGAGCATATAAGCTAATTTCAGTTCCCATTCACACCCTTGGCTATGTGCCTTTTCAGTCAACAAACTGCATAACTTTTCATGGTGACTCTACATGGTATGCATGCTGCCAAAAATAAGGGAGAGAAATGCTACAAATTTAAATATCAAATCTCACCTCCTGGCTAACGTTTTCAAGGTTCATTCATGTTGTAACATGTATCAGTACTTCATTCCTTTTTATGACTAAGTAATAATAATCCACTTCACACCCACTAGGATGGTTATAATTTTTAAAAAAATGGAAAATTGCATAGATGCGAAAAAATTGGAACCCACATACATTGCTGGTGGGAATATAAAATGGTGCAGCCACTGTGGAAAAGTCTGGCAGCTCCTCAATAAGTTAAACACAGAATTACCATATGACCCAGCAATTCCACTCCTAGGTATATACCCAAAAGAATTGAAAACAGGTATTTAAACAAAAATTTGTACAAGAATATTCATAGCAGCACTAAACACAATAGCAAAAAGATGGAAACAACCACAATGTCCATTAAATGATGAACTGATAAACAAAATGTGGTATATATTTACAATGGAATATTATGCAGCCATAAAAAGGAACAAAATACTGAAATGTGCTACAACATGGATGAACCTTGTAAACATTATGCAAAGTGAAAGAACCCAGACACAAAAGGCCACACATTGTATAATTCCATTTATATGAAATGTACAGAATAGGCAAATGCATAGATACAGAAAGTAAATTAGTGGTTTCCAGGGGTTGGGGGAAAAGGGGTATGGCAGTGACTGCTAATGTTTACAAGATTTCTATTTGGGGTGTTGGAAATATTCTGGAATTATATAGTGGTGATGGTTGCACATCATTGTGAATATACTAGAAATCACTAAATTGTACACCTTAAAAGGGTGGTTTTTATGGTATGTGAATAAAATCAATCAATATCAATTAAATAAAATCAATAAACTAATGTGCTAATTATTTTGCAATATATACATATATCGAATCATTATGTTGTACACCTAAAACTAATACAATGTGGTATGTCAATTATATCTCAATTTTAAGAATAGAAAAAGAGGGCCGGCCCCATGGCTTAGCACTTAAGTGCACGCGCTCCGCTGCTGGCGGCCCGGGTTTGGATCCTGGGTGCGCACCCACGCACCGCTTCTCTGGCCATGCTGAGGCCGTGTCCCACATACAGCAACTAGAAAGATGTGCAGCTGTCACATACAACTATCTACTGGGGCTTTGGGGGAAAAAATAAATAAATAAAATTAAAAAAAAAAGAATAGAAAAAGAAAGAATCAATAGTGAAAGTAGAAAAAAATCAATAAAAAATGCTATTATAAAAGAAAATGGTAAAGTGGAAACAACCCAAATGTCCATTGACAAATGAATGGATAAACAAAATGTGGTATATACATACAGTGGAATATTATTCAGCCTTTAAAAGGAAGAAGATTCTTAAACATGCTATAAGAATGAACCTTGAAGACATTATGCTAAGTGAAACAAGCCAGACACAAAAGCACAAATATTATATGATTCTACTTATATGAAGTACCTAGAATAGTCAAATTCATAGAGTCAGAAAGTAGAACAGTGGTCACCAGGGGCTGAGGGGAGAGGGTAATGAGGAGTTATCGTTTAATGGGTATGGAGCTGCAGTTTGGGAAGATGAAAAAGTTCTGGAGATTGATAGTGATGATGGTTGCATAACAATGTGAATGTACTTAATGCCACTGAATTGTACACTTAAAATGACTAAAGTGATAAATTTTATGTTATGTATATTTTACCACAATGAAAAAAAAAGAAAACAGGCAAAATATTTGAATAGACTTTTCACAAAGGAAGATATAAAAATGGCCAATAACACGTAAAAAGATGCTTAACATCATTAGTCATTAGGGAAATGCAAATAAAAACTGCAATGAGTTACCACTTCACACCCACCAGAATGGTTAATATTCAAA